TGTATATATATATATATATGTATATATATGTGTATATATATATATATATATATACACATACATATATATATATATATATATAAGATTATCTTTTATTAGTCCGTAGAAATTTACCGTATTCCAGCAAAGTGCAACAAGAGACACCAGTAAACAAAACAAGGGTAATACACAAGTTATAAAGAAGTTAAGGTTTAATAAATAAAAAGAAAAACACTTAAATAGGATATAATGGGACTAACTGGTTGGGTTCACATCATTGCATGTATGAAGTAAGAAACATGAAGTATTCATGATTATATCTCACAGTGGTATACATTGATATTTGTAGTGCACATTAATGAATAAATGAGAATTCATCTGGGCGATGTTGTGGTTCTGAGTCGGTCGATCTTAGTCATAAAAGATCGATAACGTCCGCAGCAGATATTGAGATGTGCCTGTCAGTCCGTATCAAGGGCACCAATCAACTGTCAGTCCACATAAAGGGCTCCAATCACCCTTTTCATCCAGGACGTCCGGTCAATAGTCGAGCAGCAGATCTAAAACAGCACCATAACGGACGAGAAGTTTCTACCGGTCCGTTACTGCCGCGTTTCACCGGATAAACAAAGTCCCTCTGAGTTCTTCGGTCATTCTAAGCTAAGCTAAAAGCTAACACCGAAGCTAACGGCTAGCAGTCCCGCGATGATCGGCTGTCTGGTCGCCGGCAGGTTAGTGCAGACGGACGCGACGCAGGTCGCCGCGGACAAGTTCGTGTTCAACCTGCCGGACTACGAGAACGTGAACCACGTGGTGGTCTTCATGCTGGGCACGGTGCCGTTTCCCGCCGGTACGGGCGGAGCCGTTTATTTTTCGTTCCCGGACCCGGTGAGCGGAACCGGCTCCGTGTGGCAGCTGCTCGGTTTCATCACTAACGACAAGCCGAGCGCCATCTTCCGGATCTCCGGGCTGAAGGCCGGGGAGGGCGGGGCGAACTTGTTCGGCTCCTCCTCCTCCTCCTCCGTGGCCCAGGTGGGGGTCTCGGTGGAGCCTCTGGACCAGCTGGCCCAGCAGGTCCCGGTCTCCTCCTCCTCCGTCTCCACCACCGCGGACTCCTTCCTGCAGTTCGCCCAGAAGACGCTCGACAGTTTGTACAACTTCGCCTCGTCGTTCGCCGTGACGCAGGCGCAGATGACGCCGAACCCGTCGGAGACCTTCGTCCCGTCCAGCTGCGTCCTCAAGTGGTACGAGAACTTCCGGAGGAGGCTGAGCCAGAACCCGAACTTCTGGAAGACCTGAGCGCTAAAGCTCGAGACTAGTGTCCACTGTGCCTCCTGTTATTACAATAAAGGTTATTCAAAGCGCCACACATTTATAATAAATACAATGATTCCACTTTATTTACATTTAACATCATGAAAAGTTTAACTTTACATTAATTGAAAGTATTATGAAGGAAAATAAACATTTTATAAACTCGGACACTGTTCTCTCCATCAATACTTCTTTAATCTGTTTCTATTATTATACAGCTCGAGGTCTACAGACCCTTCTAGAACCTTGAACGGGATCAAAGTTCTGTGAACCACCAACACTTTGTGCACTTTCAATAAAGTGACAAAATATATATATATATATATATATATATATATATGTATATATGTATATGTATATATGTATATGTATATATGTATATATATATATATGTATATATGTATATGTATGTGTATATATGTATATGTATGTATATATATGTATATGTATGTATATATATATGTATATGTATGTATATATATATGTATATGTATGTATATATGTATGTATATGTATATATATGTATATGTGTATATATATATGTATATATATGTATATGTATATATATATGTATATATATGTATATGTATATATATATGTATATATATGTATATGTATATGTATATATATATGTATATGTATATATATGTATATGTATAT